GAAAATTTCAGTAGCTCAAGGATTAAGCAAGCCACCATGAGGCAGTTGATATACCCATGTAATTTCCTGGATCGATAAAATGTCAAACGGCTGCACTTGTAAACGAATGAAACCTTATTCAAAGATAAGTTGAAATGCGTACTCAATGAAAGTTTATATATATATATATATATATATATATATATATATATATATATATATATATATATATATATATATATATATATATATATATATATATATATATATATATATAGGTTTTACTGTGCAAAGAAGGAACATCAGAAATTAAATAAGCTTTGTCAACTAACATGTCCCATCGGAGGTATAGGACCACGATATTTGGTCTATTAAATTCCTTACAATGTATGTTAGGTTAAACTAGCCGATTTTAGTCAATTCGCTAACCAGAACATAGAAACCAGGCTGAATATAGATTCATTTATAGCAGCAAAATAAGAAATCTAGAAAAATTTTCTACAACAGAGTGATAATTCCACAGCATTGATTTCAGTAGGTGGATAAGTAGATGGATAATTGAAACTTCGTTTGTCAATGAGACAGACGGCTAATATATGTATCGGAATGACTACCACAATGTCCAAGTTGTAGTCTTACATTCATCACATGGCTTTTGCTAACATTCGGCTAGAGATGAGTGAATAGGAATAGGGTTTTCAAGAAATTTCAAGTTTTTCTGAAAAATCTATAAGGTAATATTTTACTCTTCAGAAATATGCCTAAAACGGGATAGGAACAGAAAAGTATGAAAATGGACTCATACTGGAGATGTGTGAATCAAATGAATTTCTGTGTATTCTTTGCTATGCCATTTGATGTACATGGTTTAACTGAAAAAGGATCGCTGGTACTGACTTTGAAACTAAACAGCCTCTTAAAACTTTTCAAACTTGACATATCAAGAATCATGAGGTGAACTGAAATTTGTGGTGACTTTTGACAGGCATATGACGGTTACATTAATCAGTTATTGATGTCTAATCAAATCATGAAAATTGCTTGCAATATCTAACAATCTTCGCATAAGTTATGCCCGTTCTATGCAATTATGAATATCATAAGCCCAACGTATATCTCCTAATTGCTACTAGGTCTATGCCACTGTCTCCATGATACAATGAATACAGGTGGCTTTCGCTGTGTGGTTGATCTGTTTAGTTAAAGTCTTCAGTAGTTCTGTTGGGGGGTCGTTGAACTGAACTTTTCGGACCCCTTGAATGCACGAATATCAACAAGAGCCAAAACTCTTGTATTTCTTGCGTCATTCTGATTTACTAGTTCTAGTAAATACTAAGTGCTAATATTATTTCATAATATGATTTTGAAAACGATACAGAAATAATACACATAGAGATGACAAAAGGGCTATCTTTTTGGTCATTGTTTTCTTAATACTTTAATATATTTAGTACAAGTTAGATTTTATCAATTATTACTACGTGGACAACTTTTAGGTACCAGTGGTATGATTCACTGTGAGACATATGTTACCGATTTGTTAAAATAGATAAATAGATTCCTGAAACAACTGTCATGGAAACAGTTTTCTACAGAAACTTTATTACCAGCTTCTTCAGTAAAAACAATCTGTAATGGATAATAAAACTTTTACAAACGATGGAGATAAAAATGAATTCGGTGATTACTTTCACTTATACGCAAAGTTAGGAAAATGTTGATCGAAAATTTTGGAAGTATAACACAATAAGTGATAATGAACGAAGCAAATTAAGATTTTAACTAGTTCACCATATCGTTAACCTACCTTATACGAAAATGCTTTTCATTAAAATATGGAAACAGAAGAAATCGAAGAGCTTGACTGTTGAATTATGTGGTTAGGTTTGAACTTTCCTGGTATAACCAACGCCTTAAATAAACACTTATATTCCATCATCATGACACTAGCATTAACTGAAGGACAAACTGGAGTTAGCGTGTATTCCCTTCCAATTAACTATTGTTAATAATATTTGGCAAAAACAAATATGGCGTTCTGCAATACACAGTTTCAAAATTATGCATAAAATCCCCGTTTATGCTCCTTTCTGACAATTACCGACCCAGGAGAAGGTTTTAGACTGTTCTGCATTCACTCAAAGGCTTATGAAGGAAATAATCTTTTAAATAGTGCTCAAAACCAAACGTTTTTAGCTATGAATTTTCAATCATTGCTGAATTTATTGATCCTACCACACAATGAGTTTCATAAATGGCTTTGAAGATGTCTTTAAGGTTTTGGTTATATATGAGTTAAAAATATAACAACTTAAAGAATTAGAAGGAGGAATACTGACACTCATTTAATGACTTCAGTGTCTGTTAAAATTTCTTATATTCGTTGGCTGTCTTCATTAAAGTCAGCCGCCAAGGTTGCAAACGATTTACATTTTTTCGTCTTGAAGTTTCAATTCAAACTAATGAAAAACATTCTTGCTGTTCGACTCTGCTGAACACAAACAAGTATTGGTAACAGTAAACGATTAAGTCAGTTTTTAAGGCAAACAAATCATATTTCAATGTACAACTAACACTAAACTTAAATCACACTTGTGTTGTATAAAAATAAAAGTTGATAAATTTGAATTAAACGTTTTAGGCTATACTTTAGAAATTATTTGTCAGCTTGTAGAATAGAATCTACCTTCGCATTTAACTTGTATGAGTCGTATCTTTCACATGTGACTTTTAAATTAAAAACTGTTGATTGCCCTTCTCTATGTAACTAAAACAAAGTACATTGAAAAGATAATCTGCTCGGTTAATATAGGAGTAGAACTTGGGTATTATAGTCGACTGTAATTCCATTTTAATCTGTTTATTAGAAATATTAGACAGTGAAACAGTATCATTTACTAGATGTCGTTTTGGACATTATCTGCTTGGTGAACTGACTTAAAAAGATAAATTAAGTTCATATCACTGTTATCTTCTATGTTAGATCATCACTGAGAATATTGTTGCCAAGTGTTGAATATTTTTAGGAAATTTTTGTGTAAAAACTTTCTGTACAACTTCGTTTAATGGTTATTTTGTCTAATATATAGTTTACTTGAACTCTAGACACCATAAAAGTCTTCCCTCATAACAACGTACAAACATATTTGTTAGCAAATCTCTCATACTTTGAAGTAAGGTTAGGAAAAAATACCTGTCTACAGAAAAATTAACGTTATGAGGATATATAAAACTAAGGTCCATTGCTTGAAAAAAATAATTTAGCATCTTAAAGAACTTCATGGAATCTTCTAGACAGTACTAACTACATAAGATGAAAACTTATTGGAAACTGTTAAATGGCTAGATTTCAAAGTTTATCTAACCCATATAGAACGCAGAATGACGAATAAATGGAGTACATTAAAGTAAATAATAATCCATCTCTTAATAACACGCAATTTTCTCATCATAACGAAAAGCAGATGTAGTCCGCCTACTCAAAATTATTTAAAGCCATTAAATATGTCATTTCGAAGCGTATCATACATTTTGAGCATAAGATACTACTGATATCAGTATTTGGTGATGGCAGTTAGCAGAAGATATTATGAATATTCTGATGATTCCATATGCATAATTTGCTTATTGGGGGGTTAACAGTGGAATCCAAAACCTGCATTTCGTTCCATTTGGGATTCATCAACTGATTGTGTCGGAATCGTAGTGAGTGACGATGTTGTTTTTATGCTTCCAATCATGAACTTAGTTGATTGTGATAAAAGGTTCACAATACTTCTGTATTTTTCTGTTAGATTCCTTGTATCTTCATTCATGGAAAGTTTATACATTCAACAAAGGAAGTCGACTTTAAGTCGATCGTTTACCTGAAGTGTTACTCTACTGTCTAAGGAAGTAACAAAGACCAACAGTCATTGAAGCTTAACGATATGCATTCATTGACTAAACAGTTACAATCACTGTTATGAATCATTCGTCATTATGCACGTAATCTGAATTGCAATGAAAAATCAATAACAATTTTCCTACTACCCATTGAAACGTTACCTTGGTAACAATCAGAGCGCAGACATATTAAAATACTGTTTTGACTACAAACACTACATCAACATAGTAAAGAAAACGTTCAGCCTTTTATAATTTATCATCTTATCATTAAACAAACAGAAATCCAGGTGACCTTTACACAAGTGAGGTTATCTAACTGACATCTATTGACTTTATGGAAAATTTATAAGGTAATGGATTTTAGTACTTTTAAACCAGGTTCACAGTGAAGTTCATGACTAGCTTCGGATAGAATCTGTGTGATTTTTCCCACTTGAACTCACATTCTGCACCCCCCACACTTAAGGTTTTCCATTTCACTGACTGTCTAAGTGAAAACAAAAGTTTCTTGTTTATAATTTTAAGGATTGAGTTTACTACTCCCAATTAAGCTTCATACATGAATGTAGAGTAGTATTATTATTGTTTCTTCTACGTTATAAAATCAATGCCATTTGGCTGTTCTCATTTTGAATCTATTTCAAGATTCTAATTGAATTAAAAATTTATTTATTTTATAAAACTCTAATTTCTTCTTAATTAACTATTCGAAATGTTACATATACTACTTTCACTTGTTCCATGTTGTTATTTGGGTTGTAAAAATAAAATGTGAACAAAACAGTTGTTATTTTTGCTTACAATGAAGAAGAAAAAAAGGAAATTTTTAACTTTTTTCGGAAATTAACCATAAGTGTAAACAAGGTCAAGTCTATAGGATGGGTGAGGCTAGCCTGAAACATATTGTACAAATAGTGTGTCCTGAACAAAACTTCGATTTGGCACACATAGACCACTAACTTAGGCTAGCTTAGTAAACGCACCACGTGGTCACATTGAGTTTATATATGGACCATTTATATAGTTCACTATGTATGAATGGTTAATACTTCATTGCCCTGTTCAATATATGTTACAGTCTCCCCATAGACACATATGTAAAGTATGTGTGCATAAGTGTATTCTTGTGCTATTGGATATAAGATGAACATTGATTTCTACTTAGTAAATCTTAAATTTGCTTGGTTTTCAAAAACAAGAAATATAACTAAATACTTCTGTCTATATAAATGGACTGTAGAAGACGATAGTGCTGAGAATTGACAAGAACACGGAAACAAATAAAACATTAATCATTCGGTGAGTATCTTCGATAGAAAAATATATTGGAATTCTTTGACGTGCCGAATGAAACTATTTTTGAATTAAGTTTATTCATTAACTGTCGTTATATTTATGGTAATTACGTGGTTTGACTTATGTTCATGTTTGTCTAAGATAACTGTTTTGCAGGCAATTACCACCAGGATTATGGCTTTGATATGTTGAATTTAGCTTTTATTATTTCTATCGGTATTCTTTTCTCCATGGACCAATTTCAATTAAGAATAACAAGACGGTTCCTATTGATAGTATACAATATAGATTGCCACCATTTAACTAACACCTTTCTCAGGCTATTGCCTGGTGATCATATTACAAAATGACCAATAGAATTTGATTAGCACACAGGAATAGATGACGTGAAGTTGGTTATCCTGCAGTGACCAATCAATGTGCCTCATCCAGTCCTATAGAAAGTCAGTGGTACCGTCTCTGATTGCAACACTGGGTGACACGGGTTCGAATCTCAGATGAGACATCAGTTTCGGATAAGTTTAAGATACGCCTACTGAGAAAATACCAGAAAACATGATATGTAGATCCAGAGTTTTTTGCCAATTACTTTTATCCAGCTGACAGACAAAAGGCTTATTATGCATCGTAATTTTGCATGAGGAGATAAATAGCCAATTAACTGTCACCTACTGCGAATTAGAATAACCTCTAGTTACATGAAAGTGAAGTTCCAAGATCCAGAGTTCCAAATTACTATTGGCAAATCCCTTGGAGAATATACTTGTACTTTCTTCTGTAACATATTGCAAATTATACCTCTTTCTAGTTAACTCAAAAAGTATTCATTAAGAAGATGAGAGACAAATTGTGATTGAACATATAAGCAAAAAAGGCTTTCTGTTTCGTCAACTTATATGTGAATCTTTCGATAAGTATTCTTCCTTGATTGATGTATAATCAGTCTCTAATGCTGGCGAGATATATTTGAGATAGTTCGAAATCTAAATGGAATAAAGTTAATATGTTAGATTTCCGTTGGCATGGTTCAACAGGTCTAAACATTTTCATCCTAAGAGTAGATAACTTCGAAATTCAGGAGACTCTAGAGTCCAGTTTTCTTAAGTTACATGTTTATTTCAAATACTTCTATCTCAGCCGACATCAGCGATGTAGTCAACACTTACTGTTTGAATGGTAGTTTATCAACCGACAGGTATTGTTAAAGCTTCTAATTGTAAAATACAGGTTACTCACACCCTTTTAATAAAGTTAGACAACTTCAGATTTCACCAGGATTGCAATAAAAAGTTCCTGAGCAAGTATAAAGACGTAATTCATAACATGCGACTCCTATTCACTACTCTGTTGATGCGTTCAAATAATGATATACATGCGTGAATATTTATTATCCCTGGAACAAAACAACCATAAATTTCTAATTAGTGTGTCACATTAAATATAGGTTATATTTGTATAAATCTCAGTGTGTTTAAAATAGAATAATTCCAAATTTTAGCCTGAAAGTTTGATACAAGGTTACATTGATCGTGGTGCGACCAGGTTTTCATTTCACCTTCAATCGTTATCCAGTATTTACCAAGCCACTGTTATCATAGTCTCTTTTATGACATATATATATGTTGTATTACGCAACAGATGATTCGCTCCCTTAGTAAGTTTAAAACAAGCAAAAACAACAGTTTTAGCAGAATAACATGGATCAGCCACCACTCATCGATATGAGGGAGCATATAGTTGGTGAGTCTAAAAAGGACATAGCGCGTGCCCAGAAATTGACTCCCAGTCACAATCAAGTCAATTATAAGATAATGAATCTGCAGGAAATATTGAGGCACTCGTTCAAAGAGCCCATATGTCAGCAGAGGTTGATCAGTTTGATCCAATCAACAACTGGAAATTGCTAGTATCAGTTAATAATAAGATTGTCTACATATGGAAAGGTTCAATTAATACTCTGTAGCTGAAGTCGGATAAAAAAGGGAGATTAACATATTCTACATGTTAAAAAAGGTTACGTAAAAGCATTTATGAAAGATTAGATTATATTGTATCGGCTAAGCAAACAGGAAAAGTCAAAACTGTGAAGTGGCAAAAATAAGAAAACCTTATGAAACGATGTGCCAAATCCATCATGATTATGTAAAAAAAAGCAAAATTACTACGGTAGGGTACCTAGTTTTCTCTCTGAATACATAAGTTCTGTTTTTATCGCTGAATAGTTACCGCTTCAGTAGAACACAACACATTTATGCTGAATAAGCTGAATAGATTTCAACAAGTGATTGACTGAAAAGATGTGTGTACATAATACGTAGAAATGCACCGATAAAACTTATCTGCGAAAAAGAAATTGGTTGCAAAAAAATTTTTATTCCAGGCTATTTTCCACTGCAACATACTATATATGAAAAAGTCTCCCCAACAAATCTGAAATGCTCATAAAATCGATAAATTTCTATTTTACAAGATTGCCTTTCCTTTCATTCGAAATTGAATTAACCGGTAAACGTAATTCACGCAAGTAATAAATTCAAACAAATCTTTAGGTATAAGCTGTAGATGCAATTTAACATTCAAATCTTCAGAGACTAAAACATCAAGCTTTCTGTTGTTAAACATGGTATAGACTGAAACTTGAGCATATTCAATGATCATTTCCCATAAATAAATTTGACTAACTTGTTTGAGTATTTTAAGCACAAATCATAACTGAAATCAAACATTGTTAACTATAGATAAAATTTATACAATGCGAAACACTTTTTTTTAAATTTTGAATACTATGCTCTTTGTTTTAATGAGTAGTCAAGCGAAATTCGATAGAAATATAAATTAAATTGGTCAACTGCCAAAAACGAAATGCGTCTAATTTAAAAAGAATTATTTTACTGGTTGGAATAATATCGAAAGTAGTCTGGAAGTTCAAGTTGCATTATGACATTCTATTGTGGTTCAAATGAATTAAAAAGGTACACTGGTTTTCGAACCGTGAAACCTGAAAGTCAGAATCTGTTTACTCTGTTGAATCGGAAATATGCATTCCTCGAAGAATCTCGAACTATAATAGAGGAACCGTTCAATCCTGCATAGCTCGGTTCTTCATGTTACTTCGTGACAAAAACTATCTAAAAGTTATTCTTATACACTAAGGCCTGAGTATTCAACAGTCTCTTAATACAGCCTACAATCTAAAACATTACTCTCAACTGAACTGAAAGTTATTCTCAGCAAAAAACAAGTATTTTGAAGCCACGTATCCATCGAATTAAATGCTTAGCCAATAATTAAGGTCGTTCAGCATTCCTCTAATAGTCTTTTATGCTAGTAATGTTGATACTGCATTCGAATATTGTAAGACTAAGGTCACGGAATACTGCATTTCGTATGAATGTGTATCTTCATCTTATAACTTAGTCTTTTCACATACACCTGTACAATTAGATAATAAGTCATGTCAGCTGTATTTCAAAACGTTATGCAATCCTTGTAGTGCTTTAAAGCACCTCTCATCACAATCCTATTTTTAAACAAACAAGTGCAAATCTGTAGTAGGTTACTACGCGAAGGAATAGGTTACTTTGCTAAAAATCCAGTCTTTTTTACTGAGCAGTTATTTAGTACACTTCAGAAGACAGTCATTAAAATGACTCGATGTTTTGATGAATCATACGTAACCAAGCAGAATTCATGTATATTATGAACTAGTGAAGCAAGTGATTCCCTGCTATCAAGGAACCAAGCAAAGTATGGACAAAATATCGAAGCCTATCTTAATAGGACTGTCCCTTTTCAGTGCATTATCTGGTATGTGGTACAGATTACATCACTTTTGATGGCTCAACTGAAAACGATCATCATTGCGTAATGTAAACACATTTAATTAATTGTATTTTGTATGATTTTATATCTGTAGAGAACAATAAAATGAAATTCCTAAGATCCGCTGGATTAGTAACCATACTGTCTTTTCCGCAGGAATAAATAGATATATGCTGTACGATTTCCAAGAATTTCCATGTGTAATAATTAACATGAACTTCATTATAAGCTTTGATTTATTCTAAAATCAACTGTTCAGTTAAAAATCAAAATAAATCAAGTTTGCTGATCCAAGTAAATAATCAGTAATGGAAACCGTCCGTAATTCACTTAAATAAAGCCATAATTTATCTTCTTAATTACATCTAAGACCCTATGACTGAGTAAATGTCCCACTCTGAATGTATGAAGACTTAGTTATTAGATGCAGTTTTCATTGAACAACCTATTTAAAAAAAATGGTATTTTTGAGAAATTTTAACTGCTCTGATGATTAATAATCTATTAAGCTTTTCATTCCTGTACTAGACATCCTAATGTCTTTCTAGTTCAGGGCAAAGTTGAACAGGTAATCTTTAGAATACTTTACCACTACAACTCATACCAAAAGAGAATGATTCTGTGTATCTGAATTATAGGGAAGTAGAAATGCTTGCGGCTGGAATAAACAGATACCAACCATTGAATTTGGGAATCGGGAATAAGGATAAACATGAAAACTTTTAGTCTGGCACTTGAGTCTTCTTTGACTAATAAATTTACTTCAATTATCTGCTTGTTTGACTACTATATACTGACTGCATGGAAACATTAAATTCGTTACAATGGCTGTTCTCTTTGAAAGCTTGAAAAATACAAAGAGGAATAGGCAGTTAATTGTCTTTTACCTCATTCTCACCTTTTCTGTATGCATTTAAATTAGCAATTAGTACTCCTTCTCTTTCTGTTTACAGACTAACTTCGAAAATTAACCTTCTAAGATAGCAATATTCTCATTACATGTTTAGTCACAGTCGTTCACAACATACCAAGCAGTTGTTAACCCTAAGGTAACTTGTAGATTTTTAAAGTGGTGGGTGAGTGTTTCACCACTTGTGGCTTCGTATGCCTATATGTACATAGTGTAATCCTTGGGCAATCATTTCTCTTGAATACACTCCTTTCTATGCTATCTAAAAATG